CTTTAGACTTCTGTAAATATTTAATTTTAATTTATGATTCAGTTTTCATGAAGGTTTAGAAATCCAAACTCTGAGATTTGTTTTGTTTTATATTTTATGTTCTTAATAACACATTGAGTTACTTTGTATATGAAATGTTTATAAAGTTTGAGTTTATTTAAAATGCATGTCACAAAATATTAAAAAAATTAGAAAAGTGTACAATGACTGCACTATGGGGTTAGATTTTCTTTTATTTGCTTTTAGATATGAGACACTGGGAAATATTGAGTTAATTAATGTGATATTGTGTCTGCCTGTTCTTTAATAAAAAACAAATAAAAGTTGAGTCCCCTTCATTCTGGGCTCTTAAACACTCCCTGCTTCGTGTCTGAGGAAGAATGCATAATCCAGAAGCTGAAAAAAGAATTTAAAGATTTTCAGTTACCTCTGGCTGCTAACAAACCCAACTTCAGCTGCATATCTGTAAAACCAACTGAGCTGTAGCTTTTTTATGTTTGCTAAGAACGACTAGCTGTGGCGGCCATCTTGAATGGGGTTGACTGTAAAGTTCAATCAGTTGTAGAGAGCATCCAATGATTAGTTTGAGAGTTTCAGTAAAATCTGCTGAGTGGTTCATGAAATATTTTGCTAACAGACAGCTTCCACCTTTTTGATAGAAGTCAATAAGAGCTGAGTGTTTTATTTCAGACTGTGTACAGGTGGTCTTTAAGTCCAGAAGTGAAGTCAAACAGGATGTTTTTATAATGTTAAAGCTCGTCTGACCACTGGAGGGTGGTCTTTGAAAGAACACTTCATGAAGGGTGTGCAAAAGTCTTGATCCAGTCCTCATTTCTTTTTCTTCTCACAAGCAGCCAAATATTCTGAAACTCTTAAAATTTTCTCAACACTTTTCAGATTTTTTTATACTTTTGTTTACATTTTCTTAATAGATTCTGCAGATGTTTTTTTTTAATTATTTCAGGTATTGTAAGTTTCTGAACTACTTAACCATACATTTTAAATATCTAACTTTTAACACAATCTTAAGACCCGTTCAGAACACAGTCATTGTTTTATTTTATAAAAACAATTATAAATATAAAACGATACAATAAAGTGCAAAAATTAGAATCTGTTCAAATGAATGCAGTGAGTTAATAAGGAGTGAATTGATTCGTGATAAATGTAATTTTACAAACAGCTTCTTGTTGGATTTTCTCACATGGATGAACTGCTAAACTGAACCAAGCGGAAAGTATTAAATCACATCTGTGAAGAGCTGAACGTGGGCTGCAGGGGATTTCAGGTGAACTTCTTGATGAAGCGCAGTTTGAGGTATGCGATGGAGAGGAAGCAGAAGATCATGATGATCAGAGCCATGTGGTTCTGCCACAGACCCCAGGTGGAGTAATCGATGCCCTGCTTCTCCAGGTACGCCTCCCCCGTGCACCTGCACACAAGAGCAGGAACCTGTTTTTATCTGAGCAACGGACCGCGACCAACATCTGTAAAACTGAGTCAACATTTGAGCTTGTTGAGGTGGCGGCCATGTTGAATCCAAAAGTTTCTTACGAGATCACTGGAGGGATGTTGGTGCCGTTTAACCCCGAACAGAAGTTCAGTCCGGTGAACTCATTAATCTGCAGAGCCTGGAGACACAAATATACGAAGAAAAGTCATTTATAAGTGATTCTAGTTTGCAAAAATCCACAGTTTTTGTACGTACGCTTAATCCGTATCTGGGTATACTGAAGTATTTTAACCAGCTGAGCCAGTCGACGATGGAAGAAACGTTCACCAGCAGGCCTGCAAAGATCTGCAGAGAAGGAAGGGAAGTCGGTGAGCCTTAAACTGATCGTCCAGCAGCAGCTCTGCCGCTCGTGTAGATGTTACCATCATGAAGACAAAGGAGATGGTCATGAAGATGTTGGCGATGGCCACCACCGTCTGGTCGGCTGAGATGGCCAGGACCATGGAGGTGGCCGTGTAGGCGACCAGAGTAACGGTGAACATGAAGGTGAAGAAGGCCTCCGCTTTGAACTTCAGACCTGCAGGAAAAACAAACACAAAGGTTCAGAACAGTCACAGGAAGGAGAAAGTTCACGTTTTTTTACGAATCGAGATGTGATGAAACTGATCAGGATCAATGAAGCAACTGCTGCCTTGGTTAAATCTCAAAGGTCACGGCTTGTTTGGAAAGTTTCCAGGAGACAACCTCTCTAAAATCAACACGGCACAGTTTGGACATTATCTGAGCCATGACCACAATAGAGTAATTGGATCTACAGCTGCTGCTTTGCCGGCAAAGTTTTTACAAAACTATTTCTGTTCCGAAGTCTTCAAATGTCTGGGGATTGTCCTAGCTTCTCACACAACCGACTCGAGTTTGAGTCCTCCAAAGAAAGTTGTTTTCTTATCGTAACAACTTGCTCACTACTGTTGGTATCAGCAGTGGAACCAGTGTTCCCACACCTTGGTCAACATCAAATTCAAGGACCTTTCAAGGACTTTCCAGAACCAATTTCCTCAAATTCAAGAACCAAGCGTGACGGCAATTACCTATTGCTACCACAGAATGTTACCAATAAAACAGGTTTAAAATGTAAATTCAATGAAAAATTGAACAACATGGAAGTTGTTGAGTCAGAATCACTGAAAGAAAGTGGATTAAATGTTTACCCTACATTCATATCTACAATACATGGACATGTAGTTACAAACCCCAAAACCAGAAAAGTTGGCACGTTGTGTAAATCGTAAATTAAAACAGAATACAATGACTTGCAAATCATTTTCAACCTATATTCAATTGAACACACTGCAAAGACCACATACCCAACGTTCGAACTGGTAAACTTTGTTATTTTTTGCAAATATTAGCTCATTTGGAATTTGATGCCTGCAACATGTTTCAAAAAAGCTGGCACAAGTGACAAAG